ATTTTCAGAGTAAGAGAACATTTACATAGGGATGAAGCCCTTAGTAGATGAACAGTGTTTGCTGTTGGTACTTGTCTGCTTCCTCTCTTTGCATCTAAATGTAGTTGTTTACTACTTGTCTTCTTCAAAAAGGTATGGTTTCCGGAAGCCACCATATGTAGAGCTGAAAGCTCGGCCAAAACTTGGAGAGAGAGAAGTGACTTTAGTTCATGTGACAGACTGGATAGAGAAGAAACTGGAACAAGAGTTTCAGGTAAACGTGTGGTGTCACCTGGTGTGCGTTTCACCTGAGTCTCAGAGCTCAGGGCAGAACGGAGGTTCTGAAGTGCATCTGGGTCAGGATGCTCTTTTGAGAATCTAATGAAAGCAATGGGCCCTCATCCCAGGAGTGTACCCATCATGATCAAGCGGGCCTAACGCTTTAGGTACAGTTTCAGAAACCCTGAACGTCATCCACAGAACCCTGTAAAGTAAGTAGTTCAGAGGAAGCCCCAAAGGTGGGTTCACTAGGCCAGAGCTCATTCTCCAAGCCTGTCCTTCTGCTTTCTGCCACCAAAGCTAATAGCAGTGTAGCAGAGGCCCTGGGATGAACCAGCAGATATTCGAGGCACAGATGTCTTTCTAGGTGTTATGGGTTGGCAAACAGTTTACTTTGTAAATGAGTTTCACCTTTTGAAGGAGACCCCCTATTTTTGCAGTGGTATATTTTGAGCTCTTGTCTTTAAAATTTTATATTTGTATTTAAAAACTATGGATTGGCGCCTGGGTGGCTCAGTTGGTTAAGCGACTGCCTTTGGCTCAGGTCATGATCCTGGAGTCCCGGGATCGAGTCCTGCATCGGGCTCCCTGCTCGGCGGGGAGTCTGCTTCTCCCTCTGACCCTCCCCCCTCTCATGCGCTCTCTCTCTGTCTCTCATTCTCTCTCTCAAATAAATAAGTAAATAAAGAAAATCTTAAAATAAATAAATAAATAAAATAAAAGCTATGGATTAACATTAACTGAAAACCAATTGCTGGAAAGCTTAGTAATAGCACCAAGTGAAAAAGTACTTTGAACCTAGCGAGGAGAAAGACAACCTTTAGTTTTTTACTTTTCCCTAGATCCTACAATAGGCATTAGAGTGGGTCATCTCCTTCAGGGATTTTGGGGTACAAGGAACACAAAGGACGAGGGGGCAGAGGTTGGCACCTGGTTTTGTTTTGTTTTTTAGGATGTATTTAGAGAGTGTGGGGAGGGGCAGAGGGAGAGGGAGAGAATCTCAAGCAGACTCCCTCCAGAGTGTGAAGCCCGTCGCAAAGTCCAACTCGGCTTGGTCTCACAGTCCTGAGATCATGACTGGAGTCGAAATCAAGAGTTGGACACTCAGTTGACTGAGCCACCCACGCACCCTGGCACCTGGTATTTTTGAGGCAAGTTGGGAAGTTGATGGGTAATTGCTACAACCTCCCATAGCCACCTTTTTTTGCTTTTGTGTATGCTTTTGTAAGAGGGCATTACTGGAGACTGAATGCATTGCCAAAACTCACGTGCGTAAAATTAGTTTATAAACAGGATAGGCAAAGCACCATTACTATCAATCACTGATTATTCTTTGTGCATTCATTATAGTAAGATTTCTTTCATACATAGCTTTGTCTGGTTCTGGGTGAAAAAAATTAGCTTACATTTTGTTGCTAAGATTTATTTAACTGGATAAATTCACTTGGAATTTGTGTTCTGGACATAGCAATTTGGAAATACTATGAGCCCGTGAAGCCAGTTCTCTTTAAGAAATGGTATTGAGTATTTATGAATTCATGAGTAGTTTTATCGTATGTACATGAAATCAAAGGCTGCTTCTACCCCAGAGCTGACTTAACCGGGTTCTTCTGTTCATGTGCTGATGTGATTCTCAGAGGAACTAGTTTAGAATGTGCACAAGAAGTTGTTTCCCATGTACTTTTAAAACTTCTCCAAAGCCTAAAATGATCAGAACAGAGTAGGGGGACAGCCTGAGAAAAGAACATTCTTCCACATGGCTATTTCTTTCTACAGAAAGTTTTTGTCATGCCAAACATGGATGATGTCTATATCCCCATAATGCACTCAGCCATGGACCCTCGCTCCGCTTCCTGCCTCCACAAAGACCCACTTGTGGAGGCTGCTGATCAGCTGTGATGGGTGAAGATCTGACCTTCCCAGTATTATGAGACCTAGCTCAAGGTATGGGGTTCTCGGCTGCCTTCTGTGCTGTAGCACTGGCATCTCCTCGTGCCACAGCTTCTGCCCTCCGCCTCCTGGCGCCCATTCCACCGCGAGGTGTCATTCCACGCATCCAGGAACTGGTGTCTGGGTTGCCGGCTGCAAAGCTTTGACTCAGCAAAGGAGACTGTGGAAGAATCACCACAGCGGATCCAGAGGCTACAGATGACTCACACCATGGCTTTTTTGAGTCTACCAGTTTTTGTGGCAGCAAAAGAACACAGTAAGAGCAAAGCTGTACAACTGGAAGGCTTTCCCCTTGCCTCGACTCCTCCAAAGCTTTTCCTCAGGCAGCCAGTGCACAATGGGATGTTTTCTCACTTCTACACTTTGTGGGGGATGCAGCCCTCTACACTGCCAGAGAATATCAGTTCAGGAACACGTGGAGGGTAGGGAGTGGAATTTTGTGAACCATTTCATTGATAAAGAGATACGCATAGCAACTTTTTTTCATATCGTGCATTCTGGAAGCAAGTAGCCATAGAACACACACACGCACGCACGCACGCACGCACATACGATCAGCTGGGGTGGGGACAGTGGGATTTATGTGAACATTAGGCAAAGCCATGAGATCAAACCATCCCAAGCCTTCTGTCAGTGAGATACAATCACCTGATTTCTAACTGATCCCAAATGTTTTCCTGAGGCATGAGCATGTGTGAAAGTGTCAAATACTGCACATAATGAGTGGATTGGGGTGTGGAGAAAGCCAGAGCCACAGCTTTCTATCCGGCACTTTCTATGTGCTCTGTGCTTCATATAGGCATCTTAAATGCTTTGTTCATCTAACTGGTTTTGGATATTCTGAGGTTGTGGGCAGTTTCCTCTTCTGACAGCCAAAACGGAGAACTCTCTTAACACCTCTGAGAGTCGAGACCAAGTTTGCTCAACATTAAACACTAATTACATTATCTAAAAATCCATGTGACCTTTAATGTTGCCAACCTTATTTTGTGCATTTGTGTCAGAATCTTTAGTTTACAAGTTTGGGGGCTCTCTAGTTGTATAATTTGCTTTGAGAAGTACTCTTAAAACAATTTTTTATTGTTTAAAGCTGCATTCAACATCAAAACTACCGTGGGTAACTTTTGATAACTTACATCTGCGGACAAAGCTAATAGTGGTTTTTTAAACAGCACCTTGCCTGAACATGACTTTAAAGAAATTAATATATTGAAAAAATATATTTGAACCCTTGATTACTTTAAATGCACCATTAAAACATTTGACTTAAATTATTTGGTCATTCCAGTTGGTGTACTGTTCTAATTTCTCAGTGTGTAGGCCGATTTGCCTGTCAGTCCGCATGTTTTGTTCACTGGTCTATAATTTTTGTGCAATAACTAAAGGCAAGGGACTAGATGCACTACTGTGTAAAGAGATTACACGACTTACCCTATTGCACTTAATCGAATGGTATGTGGGGATTTACAATCGCTTGCGTTGTTTCACAAAATAAATATCTTAATGTCAAATACTAGATAAGCATCCAAGTTATTTCTACTGAATCCTTTTTGGATAATAGGGAGAGAGTAAACGGTGTGCAGAGATCACTTGGGCACTCAGCTGCCAAAGCAGCTCACATTTCCTGGGTGATCATCAGATGAGCTTTCTTTTTTTTTTTTTTTTTAAGATTTTATTTATTTATTTGAGAGAGAGAGAATGAGAGAGAGCACGAGAGGGAAGAGGGTCAGAGGGAGGAGCAGACTCCCTGCTGAGCAGGGAGCCCGATGCGGGACTCGATCCCGGGACTCCAGGATCATGACCTGAGCCGAAGGCAGTCGCTTAACCAACTGAGCCACCCAGGCGCCCTCAGATGAGCTTTCTAATACTGCAAGGTGGTCCTCACCTCAGCCGATTTTAAAACACCCGAGGGACAGTCTGGTTTCTGTGCTGGATCTTATACCCTCAGTAGCCTCGTTAATCCTGTGAACTAGAAGCGCCCTGCAGTTACTACACACCAAGGCAGTTTAAACACTGCCCTCGTGCATCCTTGCCCTTCAACAGTGCTGCCTTGTACTCAGAACTGATACGCCTTTCACCTCAACCCGGGTGAGAGATGGCTAATCACCACCAATCATATGGACTGGGAAGGAGGGTGCATTTACTTAGGTGCCTGATGTGATCAGGAATGGCAGTAATGCATAAAATTTAATTCATCTTTACAACGACCTTCTTTAGGCTAACTGGGCTAATTTGTCCAAAGCCTTTATCCCCATGCTCGCCAGTGTACAAATAAGCAGCTGGCCCTAAATGGTAGTTTCTCTAACTGGGTCGCTGCTACACCTTTTAAATTCATGCAGCATCAAGACTGAAACCAGTTCCTGTTAAGTATATAGGGGCCCTTAAACTGCTCACTTAGCTGCCCCCCCCCAGAGGCCATCCACGCCGCGGTTAACCTGCAGGTCTCGAGATCACGGATAGGACTTACAGGAGAGGTACAGAAACGTGCGGGGCGCTGAGTAGCAGGGCCTACGGGATCCCCGACGTCTCTCCAGGGCGCTTCAACCTCGGCTACAAGGACTGAGGCTAGAGTCGTCGCAACCCCCGCCCCCCGCCCCGCGGAAAACCTCCCGCCCCCTGCACCCGGGTGCTGCCGTGTAGCTCGCGGTTAAAAAGGCAGCCGGCGGGGTAACCAGGCGGCCCCAGTTATGCGCAAGCGCGTACTCTGGCGCTGCAGCCTGACCCCCGGCGCCACGCGCAGGCGCAGCAGAGGCTCAAAGGCAGCGCGTCGCGACAAGGAACACCAACACCAGCGCTGGGATCAAACCATTTTATTGAGGGGCTTCAGGGAATGGTCCAAGGGGAGGAGGACAGGGAGATGCGACGTCCTCGGCCCGGCCGGAACCTGCAAGAATGAGAGCGGTGCGTTAGCGGGTGTGCGCCCGCAAGCCCGTTCCCTGCCCGCCCCAATCCTGGAGGCCCGGCTCAGATTGTAGTTCGCATCACCCGCATCAGCAGTCTAACACGTGCTTTTTTGGGAGTGTCATCACTTCAGGCCCCCCGCGACCCACGCGGCTCCCGGGCCGACCCACCGGAGCCCAGCACAAACACATCTCACCTTCCCAGCGTCACGGTCCCCGAAAGACTGAGCAGTTTCCTCCGGCTTCTACTTAAGGAGCTGACAGGAGGCGGTTGGGCGGGCCTTACTGGCAGTAACCAATAGCAAGGGACACTTCCGGTCACGTGCCTATAAAGTAGCCTAAAGAGCGGCTGCGCTCGCTGAGTCCTCCAGAGTATAGAGTGGTCACGTGCCGACCATAGAGATGGGCGTCAAGGAAAGACTGTGAGTCTGGATTTCTTGCCGAGTCTAGGTTGGTGGCTTGTAAGTAAGCGCATGTCTGTACAGTACACCAAAGGAAAGTTTACGAACAGGACGCAACTGAGTCACTTTGAAATGTTCTGTGCCAGGAGGTAGGCTAGGAGCTGAGCATATAAAGTTGACAATCTAACCTTGTTCCTGAATTGAAAGTAACCTGTTTGGGCAAAAAGAGCCTGTCTTTGAAAGTAGAGGATGTGCAAAAAAAAAAAAAAAGTAGAGGCTGGGCAACCAGATCCTGACTTTGTGACGAATTCGTTGTATGACCCTCAATTTGAGAAAAATAGGAATATCCAAAAAAGTTGTGAAGAAAAAATAAATCATGTCGGTTGCCTTGGCACATTCTGAGTAGTAAACAAATAATTGTGTTTTGTTTTTTTTTTTTTAAAGATTTCATTTATTTTTTAACGGAGAGACAGCGAGAGAGGCAACACAAGCAGGGAGAGTGGGAGAGGGAGAAGCAGGCTTCCCGCGGAGCAGGGAGCCGGATGTGGGGCTTGATCCCCCGATGCTGGGATCATGACCTGAGCTGAAGGCAGACGCTTAACGGCTGAGCCACCCAGGCGCCCAACAAATAAATTTTTTTAAAGGACTGCTGTGGGATGGAAAACTTACGTGAGTGCAGAGCTTTAATAAATGCTAAAATAGAGCTATGAACAACCTACTGTGGAAGCCCCAAGGAGAGAATGCCTAACTTTGGGAAAGTTAAAAGTACTTCTAAGTACCGAACTCTTACTAAGAGTAAGCCAGACACACTCTTCACTACAGTTGACCCTTGAACAAGGAAGGGGGTGAGGGAGGGGTTGGGGCACCCACCACCCAGCGGTGGAAAATTCCTGCCTCAGTTATGACTCCCCCAGAGCTTAACTACTAGTAACCTACTGTTGACCAGAAGGCTTATGGATAACATAAACAGTCAATGAACTCATATTTTGTGTTATATGTATTATATGCGATATTCTTACAATAAAGTAAGCTAGAAAGAAAATCATAAAGGAGGGGCGCCTGGGTGGCTCAGCAGGTTAAGCATCTGACTCTTGATTTCACCTCAGGTCATGATCTCAGGGTGGTGAGATGTGCCTCACATGGGGCTCTTGCTGAGCGTGGATCCTGCTTGAGATTCTCTCTTTTCCCTCTGCCCCTCCCCCTGATCCTGCACACTCTCTCCCTCTTTCTCTCTCTCTTAAAAAAACAAAAAAACAACACATAAAGGAAGAGAAAATACATTTGCAGTGCTGTATGGTATTTGTTGAAAAAAAAAAGTGGACCCATGCAGTTCAAACCCATGTTGTTCAAGAGTGAATTGTAATGGAGAATAATATGGCACTGCTCTGTGAGAGCTTGATTTACCAGGAGAGAGAACAGCAACCAGTCACAATATCTGGTTTTCTTTATTTCCTTAATGTTCTCTTTGGGAAATCTTTTCCTTTTTTCCGACGAATTTAATAAGGAAAATGTAGTAAGAAAAGCATTTCAACCTGACCTTGTAGTAAAATTGTACTCTTATTTTCATTATTTTCTACACAGTCTTTAGTTAAATTTAAAAATTCCTCTATGACCCAAAGTAATGATTATTTTGTCAAATGTCTTGTGACATCTATGCAGTTATTTTTATTGCTGTTTAAATTTTTATTATTTTCTACACTTATCACATTGTGGTACAGTTTCTACATTAGGAAATGAATACAAGTTTTCTTTGTGGCCTAGAATATCTATTTTTACAAATGTTCCACAGATTCTCAGGGCACCTGGGTGGCTCAGTCAGTTAAGCATATGACTCTTGGTTTCAGCTCAGGTCATGATTGTGAGATCCAGCCCCAAGTGGGTTCTGTGCTCAGTTCTCTGTGCTCAGCTGGGAGACGGCTTGAGGTTCTGTCTCCCTTTCCCTCTCCCTCCCCATCTGCCTCTCCCTCCCCATGTTTCCTCTATTACTCTCTCTCTCTCTCTCTCACTCTCTCACACACACACACACATGCACACTCCCTCTCTCAAATAAATAAATAAAATCTTAAATAAACGTTCCATGGATTCTTGCAACGACGATGTTTTCACTATCATGTACACTGACGTGAAATATTTATTAATTCAACCTTAATTGTGTTGTAATCATATTGTCCAAATGTCTATTTTATACTTGATTGGGAGTATATGTACTGTCGCTGACTGTGATGTGTTAAGATTATGCTTCAAGTATGAAATACTGGGGAGGATGCAAAGCAACAAGAACTTTGCTCCATTACTATTTGGGAAAGCAAAATAGTATATACATTTTGGAAAAGAATTTAGACAGTTTCTTATAAAGTTAACTTACCCAAGAGAAATGAAGTTTTATGTTCACACAAAATCCTGTACACAAATGTTTATAATATTATTCATAATGCTTCCAAAGTGGAACTACCTAAAAGCCCTTCAATGGGTGGATCTTAAGCAGCTGTGGTACATCCATACCATTGAATGATACTTGGCAATAAAATAGAATGAACTACTGATATATGCAACACTTGGAAGAATCTCAGAGGCATTATGCTTGAGTGAAAGAAACCAGACTCAAAAGATGGTATGATTCCATTTATATGATATTCTAGAAAAGAGAAAACTATAGGAACCAAAAACAGATGAAAGATTTTCCAGGAAATGGAGGTGCAGGAGCGTTTGACTACAAAGGTGCGGCATGAGTGCATTTTTGAGGGTGATAGAACTGTTCTGTATCTTGATCGTGATGGTTACATGACTTCAGGTATTTGTCAAAATTCATAGAACTATACCCCCACACGGTTTCATATTACTGTAGGACATTTAAAAATAAAAAAATTATGCTTCACTTTCCTTGATTATTTCTATTGTTATTTGCTTGGTATATTTTGAGGCTATGCTATTTATCTCATTACACTTTGTAGCTGATAATATTCCGTCACGGATTACATGTATCTATGTATAAAATAGCACTCATGTTTTTTGCCTTGAGTTCTAATTTGTCTTACATTAACATTGCTACTTGTGTCTTTTTTTGTTTGTTTTTGCTGGTATAACTTTGCCCATCGCTTTATTTTTAACCAATGTTATTTTGTTTTTAGTGTGTCCTTTGTATGAGGCACATGGTTGGCTTATCGTGTTTAGCCCAATGTGACAATATTTGCCTTTTCAAATTTTTAGTATGAAATGTCTCTGCATACAAAAGAGTACATATAAAGTATATGTGTGGTTTGGAGATTATTAATAAATTGAACATTCATATGCTCAACCACTTTTAGAAAAATCACATCATCGATAATTTTAAAGCTCACTTTTTGCCCCTTCTGATTCCATCTCCTTCCCACACTCTCAGAGGAAACCAGCATTCTGAGTTTAGAGTTTGTCTTGTTTCACTTTTTTTTTTAAAGTTTTGCTTCATACATTTATATGTTATTTAGTTTTGTGTGATTTTGAGCTTTATAGAAATAGAATATATGTATGTATCTTCTATGACTTACTCTTTTTATTGCATAATATTGGTGACATTCACGTTGTATGTTTGCAGCTAGTAATTGTACTAATGCAACCAGATTCACTTTTGTGTAGCATCCCAGTGCACAATTACATCACTCTTTACACATCTGTTCTCTTTATGTTGGATGTTTACAATACCTACAGTTTTCGTTATTGCAAACAAAGCCACTCCAAATATTCTTGTGTGTGTGCAAAAAAGTTCCTTTGGGGTATGTAGATTGAAGCACAATTGCTGGGTCATAGGGTAGGCACATTTCCCCAACTTCCTAGATAATAGCAAATAACTTTCCAAAAGTGGATACTTTGTACTCCCACATTGGCCTCCACCTTCACCAATTCTTGATATTGTCAGACTCTTCATACGTGAGTATAAAATGGTATCTCGGTGTAGTTAAAATTTTAAAGCATTTATTTTCATACAACCATTGACCAAACAGCTGACAATCAGGTTTTCTCTTCTGCAGTTGCTCTTTTAAAATCCAACTTTATAAAAAAATAAAACAAAATTCAACTTTACACACAATAAAAGGCACCCATATTAGGTGTCCATATTCCTGGTTTTTGTTTGTTTGTTTGTTTTTACAAATAGGTACATTTGGGGGCGCCTGGGTGGCTCAGTTGGTTAAGAGGCTGCTTTTGGCTCCGGTGGTGATCCCAGGGTCCTGCTCAGTGGGGAGCCTGCTTCTCCCTCTGCCTGCCGCTCCCCCTGCTTGTGCTCTCTCTCTCTCTGTCAAATAAATAAAATCTTTAAAATAAATGTCTTTAAAAAAAACCCCAAAAAACAAATAGGTACATTTGTGTGACCTCCCCCACAATCAAGTTACAGAAAATTCTCATTACTCCAAAATTCTTCTCTCTTGCCTCTTTGTAGTCAGTGCCCGCCCCCTTCAGTGCCCCCCTAACTCAGGCAACCACTGATCCATGTTCTGTTATTACAGAATGGCTTTGCCTGTTTTAGATTTTCTTGTAAATGGATTCATGCAGTTTGTACTCTTTCGTGTCTGGCTTCTGTCACTTAAATGAATGTTTTTGAGATTCATCCATATTATCATTCAGGAATACATGCCTTTGTGTTGCTGAGTAGGATTTCATCGTATGAATATGCCATCGTTTGTTTTTCCATCCACATGTTTACAGAATTTGGGTTGTTTTCAGTTTGGGGCTATGATGAATAAAGCTGTTATGAACATCAGCGTAGAAGTCTTCTTATGGACATTTATTTGCATTCCTTTTAGGAGTGGAATTACTAGATCATGTGATAAGCATATGTCTTTAACCTTATAAGAA